AGTCATTTTGAACTCGGAGTAGAATTACTAACACATTATCTCCCAATTAGAGGCTATTATATCCCTTACTTAATTCCTGTAAACAGGTGTATTCTAAATTCTAAATACATCTCCCTTTTTTGCCCAGAAATTTTCCCTGAGAAACTGAGAAAGTATGTGATATTTATGATAAGTACACTGATCGGTATATCGAATTTAAAGCGGCCCCTGCAAGTATATTATCGGCGTTGCCCCATATTCTCAATTAATTCACATGCACTGCTCATATTTATGTCCGAGATATATCACAAAAAGATTAAATGCCGACTATTCAACATATTTTCAATCTTACTGATAGCTAAATATTACAATGCACCGTACCTATTCCTTAGAAGAGTTCATTATCTTGATTACTATGATCCAATAATAGAAACAAAGAACTTTCTCGATGTTCAAGAAGAAAAACGTTACATTTCACGAATCGATATTTAATTAATCGAAATCGGGGTCGTATTATGGTCAAGTTCGGAGACAACCTGTACATTTTTTACTTTTTTAGAAGTGTGTGGTGGAGCCAGCTCAACACAGAATGATACTCCTTGATTATATGGCTGACAAGACATTTTTCAGGACTTTCTCTGAGTAAAAAAAATAAATTAAAAGGTTGAACGGTTGAGCAGATACAGGTGGTATTAAACAAACCCTTAAAAGGTGGAGATTTAAGGTGGAGACTGGCTCTGGTTGAAGAAACTTTTGATTAAGGTGGAAAAGGTTATTGGTAACACAAACTACATCAAATTTGCAATCTGATGTTTTTATCAATATTTTATTTAAGTGCTCAACCGAGGTGGAGAAATTAAATGCACTTTTCAAAGCTGCTCAACCGGGGGTGGAGAAAGGTTTAGAGAGTTCTAGGTTAGCTAGAAAGTTGCGTCTCGGCCTTTTCTACTTCCCGTTAAATTTTGTTTTTTCCATTGACGCTCAGCAGGGTGGAGATCTTTCATTAAGAAACAGTAAAAAGCCTGTCAAACATGCCTAAATTCATTGGTTTTATCACTAATTCTAATCTGCTCTGTTAACTGCTACTGTAGGGGATCATAAAACTGTTACCCCTTCTGTCTTAAAGCAAAGTGTTCTAGCAAATGAAAAAACTATCAAAGTTGTGAAAAGGTGCTCAACAAGGTGGAGAAATTGTTGATTAAACATTAAAACATTAAAGAATGTATTAAAACTGGCCCCACCGGGTTGAGTTAAGCTTTGGCAGTTGATTTCTGGAAGAAATAACATTAGGTGACCCTTTAGCATGTATACAACTCATCAAACTAGCCATCAACCACTCAACCGCGGTGGAGAACCTTGAATTCTGAGGTCAAATTTACGCCCAAATTTGCCAAATTTGAGTCTCCACCTATGTTGAGTGTACTTTTCAGCAAGGATGCCGTGTAATATGAGTTGGTAGATGATTTAGAATCATTGGTATTGCAAATGGACTGCCACAGTCACTCTACAGCTCCTAAACTACAGAATAACAGATTTTGAACTGCATGTTATGCTGTCTCCACCTCGGTTGAGCCGATTCTGAGGATCCCATTCTATGAAATATGATTGGTATAACCCATAAAATTAAATATTAGGACTTTGGAGCAATTAAAAAGCATGAGAGGGTTAGTTCTAGTCACTTATATTAGCTCATGTAGTCAGTGAGCTGCTCCACCTGTGTTGAGCAGACAAACCTGCTCAACCGGCACTTTTTGAGTACCCACCTGTCTTACGTAACTTTAAATTGTGAAATTTGGAGTAAATATTTTTTTCATAAGTGATTTACAGCTCCTTTATTTTTGTAATTTTCAGGTGGCCACTGTCTCCACCAAGGTTGAGTTATTTAAATTTTGAACCCAGATATCATTATAGAAAGGTTAGGAGTATAATATCTGAAGAGCCTGTACCCCTTGGACTGTCAGAGGAATTATAATTAATTTTACCGTTTATGGCAGTGAAATGAGTGTAATTAGTGACTGATTTTATGTACAGGTTGTCTCCGAACTTGACCTTATATTGTGTATTATGATATTGTGCAAATTTAATTAATCGTTGATGAATGCCCTCTCCCTTCCAACGTAAGTCCAGAAAAAAGATTGCGGAGAGGATTTCAGTGGCAATAACTTTAGCTAGATATGCAATTTGAATAAGTTAAAGCTTAATCTATTCAATTACGAAGTGAGATTTGTTTGCTTTGAATTTATATAAATTAGAGGTGCTTTTGTTCTCCAAGAACAAAGACAAAATTAATCAAATTTCAATTTACAGTTGCCTATTAGAAAAAGACGTCGGGTCGGAAGACAGAGACAAAATCAACTTCAGAATGTTATGCTGTTGCCTGTTCTTCAGACATATAAACATTAAGTATCAGGGATAGAATTAGTTTGATTTCTACATTTACATCGAATTCAAACTTACATCAGCTTTTATGCTGCGTAAAAATAATTCTTGTAAAATTTTGATGTAGGTGTTTAAATTAAGTCTGACCTCTAACCCTGACCTTTAACCTTTAACCTCTAACCTCTAAGTTTGACCTCTAGGCTCTAACCCTGACCTTCTTTTGCTTCCTGAATCCTGATCCTCTGACGTCTGAAGCAGCTAGTTGCGTGATCCACTCTGAGTTTCAAGTGTGCCCCGGTTGAAAATCCTTGCTGTGGCTCTGCACGAACACTATTATTTGCTTGTTTCTTAGCGGGAAATAAGACAGATGCAATTTGGATCCTATTAGTATTTAGCATGCTACCAGTTGAAACAACAGGGATTGGCAGCCCACAAATCAATTATACAAATTGCACAAGGCTCCAATGCCCTTTCTTACAGCCCCCCAAAAGGAGAAGTTCTAACACTGGCCTTAGTTTTCGATCAGCTAGCTAGCTCCTCATTTTAACCATAATAATATGATTCATGACGTGAGTTACGGCTAGAATCCAATATAAGCAGCTTAAATAAGATTATAAAGCAAGTTGAAACTTGACATGACGCTCAAATTCTAAGGAAACGTGCACAATTTCACCGAAAATTAATTTGGTAGTCACGAGACATCTCATTGGACAAACGCTGACACCATATTTATATTATACTGATCCGAACATAATGCACTATATTGACTATATTATCATGGTTTTAATGAGAGAGCGGGGCCGCTACTGAGCCGGTACACGGGCTGTGGCGTCACGATCTAACGAACAGCTTACCACTTTTATATCGGTAATAAACAGATTGTAACATGCTATCTCTCACAAGGTCTGTGATATTATCTCCTTCTGTGAGCATCAAGCCAACTTTGTTCGTCATAGTTATGGGCTTTTTACAGGCGAACGTGTGTGTAAATAGTGTATTGTTTAATAACAAAACGTTCAAGATTTTATCAAGATACAATTTTTTTTAAACACTTACTTATTACTTATAACTTATTAATTATTACTTAAAAGTAATAGATTGTGCTGCATACGATCTATTATATTACTTATCGTGGTATCTAGCGATAGAAAAAGAGAACCAGTAATATACTTGACAAATATGTGAGTTATCTCATGTACCTTAAAAACCAAGTTAAAAGGACTTTTACTATCACAGAGTTAAAACCTACAGCTACACTAGAAAAATTAACTACACCCTTTCTTAAAAAAGTTACCATTAGTATAACTTTTGATAGCAAACTAACATCAATTAAATCCAAGGTAACGTAATACCATATACCATGATAAGATATCGACAAATAATTCTATGAGATATTATGAGATAACATGCTCAACCTCCTGCAGCTAATCTACATCACTGCTAGTAACAATCCAACATCTGCAACAATGTCCGGATATAATCGTCTTGGCAGATATCTAATATAAACTGCACGCCAGCCATCTCTCGTTGCAGTACTCGTTGCATATATCAGCACACTACTGGTTAAAGTTTACAAACTAATGACCACTGTATAACCACATATTTTTTACAACTAACAATAGTTCTACAGTTCTCATGGAAAATTGGCAAAAAGGACAATTACCACATTACATCGACATTGCTGAGCCGCGCAACTGATATGTTAGTTGTTTTGAAACCACAGTCGGTCTTGCCGTGGGAAACTCAACGTAATGCGACCTCAATTAACATTTTACATTCTTCTCTAGATCCTATCTACCATGCCAGATCACCTACATTGTTTCAGAGGAAACCAACTTCTATAAAATTATATTTCTACCTCGGAGGAGAGTCCAGGTCTATGAAAAGCCTTGAGTCTGGTGTAACAAAATTAAATCTCTACTGAGTTGGTTTTGTGTAATATGATCGCGGATCTATTACCAGAAATCATCCTTATAATTACTTAAAGACCCTGCTCCATTAAATCATTAGTCAACTCCCTGGTTATCCAGTGAGTTGACACAGAAAGGTACAAAGTTGCTATAAGTATAATAGTTTGAACAGCAACCCAGCTGATAATTCAGCACATGCAGAGCTAATTGTTACAGTACTAATCATTGTGCCTTCAATGATCTAGGCTTTTAAGTATTCTTGTTAGATTATTTTATGATTACTAGGACCTTGGTTTGTTATGGACCTTCAGCGAGCAATCCATTACTTTCCGGACAAGTTCCCGATATTCAGGATAAGCCGGTTTCTTGTTACATTCCACGAGCGCTTGAAATTCCCAGAATTTTGAAGTGTTTCTCTTTATCAGAGAGTGTTCCAGGGTAACTTAGTGTTGCACACTTGCACAGCCACACCAGTTAAAACATTGGAATTTCAACTAAAATTTGATGCTGTGGTGAATTTATTGAACTTCAGTATCTTTGATGACAACCCTAAGTAGTGAGTGGTGAAAGCAAACACTTGGAACGTTGAGAAAGGTTGTAAAATGGCTGTCAGCGCGCAAAAACAATTTAGTACCGCGCGAAAGAATTTCCTACTAATAGAATGTTATGTAAACAATGTGAAATATGTGTTATGTTTAGAATTTATAATGTATTGAATGTAGTAGTACTCACAGATCCATGACAAGGTATAGGTAGTTTTTATCCTCAAACATCTCAATCATCTTAACGATGTTTGGGTGATCTGCCCTGAAAAGTAATAGAGTGAAATTAAATTCTACAAAACTTTGTTTCATGTTTGAAAATACAATTTAAACACATTTCCCATATATATTTTAGAACAAAGAGAACCCCGACACGTTCCCGCATTAGCTGTCCACAAAAACCGAATTTATATTCTACATTAATCATTGTATTGAATAAGCGAAGAACCTGCAATATTTTCAGCATTTAATCTAAAATGCATAAATTACAGAGGTAGAGAGAGGTATGTAACTTTACATACATTATTTAACGTAGACGAATTTTACAAAACTAACTATTCGAATGACTAGACTAGACTTTGTATCATTAACTATTTGGAATTAATGGATCTCTACAATGTTTATCGTGCATATTTCATTAGTGCACATTAATAAGTCATATTCTTCAGACCGTTAAATTACTGTTAATAAATTACATCTTTATTATGAATAAGTTCGGCTTGTAAATAGCAAATTTTCCGACTATTTTGAGATCAAATGTGGTGAGCTGGAGTCCCTGCCTAGCCTTAGAGCCTAACTAAAGTAAGGAAAAGTAAGTAATCAGGAGATTTCTACGTAGTGAAATAATTAGTAAAAATCTGAATTTAAATTCTCTTTTCTTAGTGGACCTTTTCCTAGGGGAACATGAAAATAAGGCCATTTTGGCCACGCTGATAACGTGAAGTTAGACTTATGCTGAGTCATGGCACGGCGGCCGGCAGACTGCATTTAAGTCTGTTTCATATTATATTCACCAAATTCAGATGTCTGTTTCACGGTTCTAGTAAAACCATCTGGTTTGTAACATAACAGTTAGTTACGATCTCACTATTAACATCTAATAGTTACGAGTCATTTTAGTCTGCCAAATATTGGTTGATATCAGAAGAAGCTTGCAGCTTAGACGATTGACGTAGGACAGTTAATGAACATCCTGGGATTGATATGAGTATCAATTATATGATGATATTTATTAACTTTTCTGGATGTAATATCATGTTGTCAGCTCCCGCATGAGTTGAGTAACAGAGCGTAAAATGTTATCCCGTTTTAATATCAGTTCAATCTGCGCTAGTAGATCTAGCAACCGTGCTTTTAAGAAAATAAATGCAGATATAACTGTTGAGCAGTGCAGAACATTGTACAGTGTGCAACACATCTCTGATTCTCCAGAACCATAACCAGGCCGGCGGCTAAGCAGTACTCAGAGCAGAACAATTAATCCAAACGTGAAATCACGTGCCAATCACATCAAAATGTTCCGTTCATCACGTCAAAAGTCAGATTAACCACAGATTATCATACGATTTGTTTGGCGGATCACTGGAACAGGCTGAGTTAATCACCATTTAGAGCTGTAACGAATTCGACTGAAGCTGGTAAACCTTTACTTTCACCATCATTTAAATAATTATGTTTTAGACTATCTAGATCCAGATATTTTGTAATGAGTAAACTGTGTCACGCAAAATTAAAAGGCTGAAACCCTCAGAAATTTACATCTTCAACACGCAATCGTCAGTCAATAAAAACACATACCCAGTCCTCGTTTTGACCTAACATCTACCTTGAACATTGTTTTTTGTGTCAAGCCTTTTTGTGGCGAAGCCTCACAAAAGACCATTGAAAGGGTTATAGGTAGCATACTTTCAGGATGGCATGTTCGGTGATTATAATTATAGCATACAGTTTGGGGACGGGAATTGTATCGGGAACTTAAAAAACAGAAAAGTTGCGTTAAGTCTCATCACGTGTTGAAGTTAGAAAGCTGATACTAAAGTGCATTATGAGACTCAAGCAGCAAACTGAGCTCACTCCGGTCAAATGTTTACGTTACATTAATTGCAGTTTATCGATATAACATGTTAGCAACCACACATGTTGTGACTTCAGGCCAGAATGTTAATTTCATTATCGAAGCAGTATTTACATTTGACATTGTGACGGTGGTCTTGTTTACAACAGCTTCTACTTTAAGAAAACTCTTCGAACCCATAATTTATAAATAAGAGCCAGCTTGTCTCCTACTTATAATGCCTTCTAGTCTGACAGGAGAGCTATTAAGGGGCTTGTGTAAATAGTGTACCACGGCGTATATGATCAATATACCACAGACCTCTTCAGAGTCGGATGAATTATACACCGCACGCTTCTGAACTGTAATGAATAAATGTAGAAGCAGGAGCAGTGCTTTACATCACAATATGTATCTAATCAAGTAGGATAATTGGGGCTTACCCGTACCATGCAGCAGTCATATTGTGCTCCAATAATTGTCAGGAGGTGCGGTTTATATTTCGACAGAAAGCACACTCCAAAAATTGCGCGCATTGCAGTAACTTATCTCAAACTTCATGAATCGAGATCAAATATTTTGCTATCCAGAATCAATATTTTATGCACTTACTTAACTTACTTAACTTATCACTAAGGATATTTTTCAAAGGTAATAACAAACTACTCTCTTATTTCTCCGTGAAAAACATAATAGGGTGAGTAGCTTTTGTCGAGGTGCCTCAAAAATGATCTTAAACAATTCCCCGTTTAATTTTGGTCGACACACTTCAATTTAGTACAGAATAAAGCAAGTTGAGGGACTACCTATTTCATATGTATCAAATTGGACGTGCATTCTGTAGAAACATAATGCTTGTCTATTTATGAAGTCTGGAGAGGAAATTTTAAGCCTTAATACTTTTAATTAAATAATTGGTTCAGGTAGGGATATATCAGTTGATATGGCGTCAATGCACTTATTATTATGTTCCAAACTCAAACTTTCTAATTCAAACAGGCGAATAACACCTCGTACTATCTGATTTCGCTTAAAGTTACGTGATTTTCTGCCGAATTTCGCGGCGTAGCAATTAGCAAACTATTTGCAATATTTAATGCGTAAAAGTTCTCCAATTATATATATATGGGTGATAATGCCATTCCTTAAACGATTGCAAGATATGATATATATCTGATTTGTGTGAGCTGTGTATGTTAAATTTGAGCAGTTCCATAATCAGCAAAATTATTGCAGCAAAATTTCAAAACTTGATCAACCCATCATTTAATTATACATACATTATATGTATTTTGTATTTTAATAAAATATGACACTGTTTTCCAAAAACTGAGACAAAAGGTTGATTATTTATAATTGATTCTATTTATAACAGACTTTTTGACCGCGGCTTTGCGAAGGGAGTCTAAAATCATGTTTGATTACAAAACTTTGATATCATACAATAAATATACATCACGATTACCCGAACTAATGGACTATTGAATACATAATATAATAATACACAAGTCATGTTCTGTATTTCATTTTTAGAGTTAAAGCCTAAAAAACGTCCTACACGGACTTTAAATTGTGATTTTATTTTGATTTATAATTTTAACGTATTAAATAAATAAAGGCAACGTTTCCTTGTCTAACAATTAAAATTCATGGGCGTATTATTTATTCTAGTATACATTCAAGTTTCAACAGGTTTCGTCTCTTGTTCATTTCCTCACAAGTAACTTGCTGCTCAATTATTTTACTTGAATTATCTCAAATATGCGGGCTAGAAAATCAAGATGAGCAACTCTTATGATCAGAGGCATCAAGCTTCTTGCAAGAAAATTTGCAGTCATAAAACATTATACTATACTAGTCATTTTGATTGATACGATCATTCAAATTGGCTAGTTATTGTTAATGAACCAGTAAGTGTTAATTAAATTTTTGAAATTAGATTAACAAACCTATTTCCTGTAACTAGTAATATTACGGAATATTTAGTTTTACGTCAAGATTCTTAATCGATTCCAAATTGTTGCTTACAATCATAGCGGCTTAAAAGCAAAGGTAATTTAATATGATAACGTTTACAAGTCTAATAAAAATAGGTCACTAATTAAAGTTAATCGATGGGCTTCCTTTTGTTTGAAAATTATTAAGTCATTGGCTCTATTATCTAAGAACGGTCATTACTTAGATGACATTTAAAAATTTCTGCAATTTTACCACAAACATGACTGTATTAATTAACATTGTAAAGAGTTGGATTCACATGATCTTTAGATATCATCACTTACCACCGGCCATTGCTGACTGCACTTCGTTAAAAAACAATGGTAATTTTATTTTTAGCTCCATTGAAGGAGATGATGAACAGTAATTCCATGATTTTACTCTCACGTGATAAACAGACTGACTGTTTTAACTTGAAATTTTGAAACGTCTTTGAAATAGTCTCAAATCTTCAAAGAACGGAGTTATTATAGAGTTTCACTTGAAGACCAACATCGTATTTTATGATTCAAACAATAAAGTTACAGTAGCATTTTAGTAGGCATTACAAGTTCTAAACAACCTTAGTAGTATTATTTACAATTCCTAACCAAGGATCTGAGTAGGAGCTCACTGTGAAGAACTCAGCCAAGTGTACAGTTTCTAGACGTAGCCTTACAATGTTATGAATACCGTTACGCTAGATTGAGTTTACCAATCTTTTAAAAAGTCTACAGCTCTAAAAAATGCAGACCCATTTTCAATTATGTAGTTATATGAGTTTTTTTTCCAGAATGGTCTAATTTTTGATTCGGTTAAACAATTTAAGGCTCACCGTAAACAAACCGATGGACTTACAATTTTGGTCTCAGAAATCACCTTGTCCTAAATATTCATGATAAAATTGAAATTTATGTGTGCATAAATATCAAAAGCTGACAAAAATGATCTGAAATTGGCCATTTTATGGGTTAACTATGCTTAGTGCAGCAACTGTTGAGAATGGTTTAGACGGAGAATAGTTTCCATAGTAATTTTTTACACGGTAATAGTTCCGGTGGTAGTCGTGCTAATAGTAGTAATTGCACGCAAAGTTTTTGCTGTCTGTAAAGGATTAACCATCATTAGTCCACGATTTCTCAACCCTACACACAACTTTTGTTTTTTACACGTCGTGTGATTTTAAATATCTGCAGGTTCTGCAGCGATGTTTATTTCAAGTAGCCATGAACAAAATCATAATTCAAATATAAATTAGCTAACACATCTTAGTGATGTAATAAACGTGAACATTTCCATTTCCTGATCAGTTCTCTCCCTCTAGCTCCGTTAATGGAGTGAATGGGGCTTAGTAATTGTAAGGGGTACATATTATATGGCTATACTGTCACAATATCACATAAATTAAAGTTATTTAAATTATTAAATAATTAACTTAGAGTTATTTAAATTATTGTCATGGGCCTTAATCCCAGTTAATAAGGAATCAATGCTAAGTATAAGTTTCATCTTAATAGTGGTGTCATTAAACTTTTAGTTTATAATTGAATTATGAACAAAATCATAATTCAAATATAAATTAACTGTTTTATAACACCACTATTAAGATAATATTAACTGGTTCCTTATTAACTGGGATTGAGGCCCATGATGAGTATTGGCACGAACCTATTCACGGTTGATTCACCCATTCATTGATTGGGACTGGCCTCAAGGACCAGAAAAAGTTTACAAAAAATTAATGTAATGTACTTGACATAAATAGTTAAATATCTGAAATACCCGATTTTGCTCTTCTGCAGAATCGGATACAAATTTAACACTTGATATAGACAAAGTGTTATAAATGTACCTCTAGAGAGCTAACTCAGGAATCCAGCAAAAAATGTGTCTATGTAAAACAATGTACACATTCCAAAAAAATGGTCGTGAAAATGATTTAGCGCCGACAATTTCATTCATACGACATGTACAAATTGCTTGGACGTTTCCTTACATTCAAAGATTACAGGAATCCATCTTAAACTAAAAGTTAACATGGTAACCCAGGCCCAGGTTATTCAAGGAATGCGGTTAGATAATATTGAGACTCGTATGGCCCTGGGGCCAAGGCGTAAACCTTTTTTAAGATCGCAATATTTGTACTTTTTTATGCATCAATATTAACATGACAATTTAAAGTGAGATACCTTTTTTTGGAGTAAATCTTTTCATGTTGCTTGATTTAGACGATTGGCACCATTTATAACTAAATTAACAGCAGTCTTGAAGCTCAGATTTGTGTAAGTACATACAGTTACTACAGTGCAGCAGCGATCTGCAACTCATTGAAAGTAATTGTAATTCATTGTAACAATTGCACATCAATTGTTCTAAAGTTATTGCACTAAAGCTTGAAATGCTCGCTAACAATACAGATTGAGTTTAAAACTAACAATTCATGCACTGCAAAGCTAACACATCTTAGTGATGTAATAAACGTGAACATTTCCATTTCTTAATCAGTTCACTCCCTCTAGCTCCGTTAATGGAGTGAATGGGGCTTAGAAATTGTAAGGGGTACATATTATATGGCTATATTGTCATAATATCACATAAATTAAAGTTATCTAAATTATTAAATAATTTACTAGTACAGTTATTTAAATTATTGTCATGGAGCTGTAATTTATGTAGAATATAATCGGTAATCTTCCAATATTGATATATGTAAACGCGAAATATGAAACGATTGGCTCTGTAACTAAGACTACCTAATTATATTTGTAACATAGCCTGATGTAGTGATGTGTAACGTAGCAGCAAACTTGTTCATCTACACTAAATTTAATTAATTACCCCAATTAAGAGCAGTTCTTAGGATCTCGAGTCACAAATATGCTACATTTTGTAGTGCTAACAAAATTTCGGGAAAATTCTGGAGTCTAGTGACTCGAAATCCGGAACTCGAATCAGTCGAGTCACAAATGCTACATTTTGTACCGCTTACAAAAGTGCTGGAATATACTGACTCAAATGTTGCTTCAGTAGAGCAATATTTTTTGCAGTTGAAGACAGAATTTCTACCCGCTTCTACAGTTCTATGAACTTACAATCTGAAGGTTTTTGTGACATTCTCTCCTACGCATTTAAAATAATGAAAATAAATTGTATTATATATATGTTTTGGTATATTTTATTGTCAAAGCGTAGAATAAATGTTAGAATTTATTTATTATTATAGGAAATCTCTATAGTAACCGCAAAACTTACTTTCTAAGGACCGAGATTTCATTCTCTAAACTGTCCTCCTTCCCCTTCAACGACTTCTTATCGATGCATTTTACTGCAAACCTGTAAAACAGTATTGTAAGTTGTAAATTTCTATATTTACGTGAGAATCATAGTATCAATCATCATATCAAGCATTATTTAACTCTTAAATGAGATCTTTATCATGCATTAAACAATTAAAGATTTTCCAAGCACATAATATAATATAATATAATATAACATAATACCATGTCAATGGAAATACTCAACTATTTCTATTTTAAGATAAATTTATTGGTGATACTACTGTAAAACATCAAGAATATTTTACAGTATAACTAAAAACGCCAATAAAATATCATTTATCACACAGCTAACAGCCTAAAAGTCACACAACTTTGTGCGTTGGCAAAGAAGCCAGAATCATGTCAAATGTAAAGACCCGCAGAAAATTGCGGGCCAATATTATGTGGCACCTAGCCGCTATTATAGTTTGATAGGCTTTATCTAGTAGGTAGAAAAGTATGGCTCTTTTCATTTAACTAAATATTATATCATTTAAAACTTACTTTTTACCAGTTTCCTTCTGCACAGCTAAACATACTTCTGAGAATGCCCCTCTGAAAGAAAGAAACCAATTAAACGGGTGATTTAAAATCTATTTTAAAATATTATGGTGTCGAGGAGATTATTACACATGATAGATCTCTTCATTTTCACATGATAACCGTGTACCAGTGGAAACTATTGCTTTTTACTGCGAAACCAGATCGAAGTTTCGTGGTTAGAGGGAAAGGTTAACCTCCAAATATTTGGAGCTCAGTAGCTGATAGAACATGCGCTAAGCCTGGCTACATGGTAGTTAACCGATGTAGCTAGCCCGATCTCCATCATTCGACCTTTATCGGTTACCAACCTTTTTTATTGGTTAACGAAGCAAGACAACGCAGGAAGCGCTCTAAATTCAGCTATTACCATAGCAAGATATAAACAGCACCATGTTTTATCTAGACCAGCAATATAAGGATAGGGTACTTTTCAGGGAAAAACATTAGTTCAGCGGTTCAGCTCGATACTTATTATATCTTTTAAGGCAACATATCTACACCTATTATATATACATCACATTGGGATAAAGTCGTAGAGTTTGATGCGATGGGCATATTGGGATCTATATAGTAATAGTATGCAATTTCATTTTTATAGCGTTGTGGGATGATATTGATGTATCAGACCGTTCCCCGAGTCACTGCAATTAAAATGCACATATAAAATTTGAAGACAGTGCAATTGGCGTACCTCGAGGAGGACCATTTCATCGGTCAACATTATTTGATAAGAAAAGGCGGAACAACTTGTCATTACTCGCCATTATATTCTTGTTCCTCGAGTGACTCTACAAGCGTGTATCAGCCATGTGAAAGCTCACCAACACACATATTTTGGCTCAGCTCTAAGCTCCGTACGTTCACACATATACTACAAGAACACCGACCTTGTCCTTTATGTACACGGTCGAGTAGTCAATAATATTATGCTGCTTTACTGGAGTATTATGCGAACTGTAAATGGGTTTTATGTTCAGATATTTCACAAGATTGCTAAGTGATAAGCTGGCGTCAACGTTGGCACTATCATGTGCAGACTAGACAGTCTGTCACTGAAAGGATTTGGTCTGGAGTGAGACGGACTAGACGATTGTGTAAAGTTTGTTTAAAGTCCTGTGTTAAATAGAATAATTTACAGGGAATTTGGCTAATCCAATTATTCCTGTATGGTTTGTAGATTGATGGAGTGTGCCATAACATGCTAAAAATCTGTAACGCTGTTTGGAAGAAAAGTTTTTAAAAGTGTCGTAGGTGATGCAAACAAATAAATTCAGGATTTTGCATTTTACAGAATATGTGCATGCGTGGGCAAAGTATTTTAAATTTTTCTAGAAAGTAAAATCGAACATTACTTTAATTCGAGTCTGTCTATTCGGCCCATTGCTCAAGTCCGCGTAATATAGACAACATAATTTGCACACGAGGCCAGGGAGTATGTAGACTGGTGTTAACCAGATGTTGTAGCACTGATAAAGTGCTAACTGTGCGTGTAACACCAAATTTATGACTGGTTATTGTAGTGTACTAGCACATCAACTGTTAGTACACAAGATATTGTAGCACACTAGCGAACCCAGAGGTAGAAAGGTTAGTAGTACGCCGACTTGGAAGCTCATTAGTCTTTGGAACACATTTACTTAAACAAGTGCCCATGCCCATGCCCCCTCCCTCTCTGTTCACAGGTCAATAGCTCGGCAAATTTGCGCAAAGGACATCTTAAATATTTCATTCATGAAACACACTATCCTGGGCTTGCAACTACTATCATATAATTAGACCATTGCAGTAGATTGAGAAAGGAGTGTAATATTATATAGATATAATACTTATTCTTAATAATATGATGTAGAGACGGCGAATGTTCTTGGGGAATGAGTTACATTACCAGCACTTTAGTAATCCTTATAATATGTTATATCTAAACACATGATTCTGTTGTATTGTCCCAGACTATCCACAGAGAGACAAGATAGCTACTAGCGTGGAGCAGTACAGTGCACACTGTACAACTTCATGATGCGTGTCCATAATGATATTGTTGCTTATTGCTCCTACATTTTCAAGTTTTACTACGAGCAGGCACCTTGATGATGTGCCTCCACCGCCACGCTCTGGCCTTTTCTTTCACTCTAATTAGCAAATCATTGACCGCAGCCAGATTGCTTGTAACTATATTCGAGGAGGGATTGTTATGAAAGAAGCGGCGGCCAGAAGTATTGTGATCCTGTAGTGAAACTGTGGTGGACAGATTTACAAGTTACCGTGCATGATCAATTCTCAGGAAATCTAGTTCGGTGGCTAAAAATTTTAATTCATGCTAAGATATTGGCTGGTGTGGCACTTAGTGGCTACTAATTGAAGTTCATGCTATTGTAGTGGAGGTTCGCGAGATTAGAGCACGAAACCATACATGTAACAAAACAGCAACAATAACATTAAGTAAGAAATGAATACTTATAACAAACAGCAAGTATAATAAATAAGTTAGAAATTGAAATAAAATTTCAATATAATTTGATAATGGTCAGAATTATTCATTTAAGCGACAGACAGCTAAATTGCGGATAGTATTACTTAATAGAACCACAGACAGCACATGGAATTTAGAGATCTACTTTACCCTAATACGTTTATATAAATATTATAATGCTCCCTGACCATCTGGCATATAATTTAAGCTGCAGTAAAGTAGGTCGGGTAATACCAATATTGTCGGGCCTCCTCTAATTATCCTGGATAACTGACCTAACGAATGATAAATGACCACTTTAATACTAAGCATCCTAACCATTAAGTCAGATCCATAATACAACTTCTACTCAGTAGTCAGGAGATTGGAATATAAATACAAATCTTTACCCAACACCTCGCACTTATACCTCATGATCTAAGCCTGATAAGAACGCCAGTTTACATGTATTGCTCTGCACCCAACCCTCAAGGGAAATGAACCCAGCATTTCATTATCAAATTTCATAACTTTATGAGCTGACGCGACGCCTGACATCATGTGTGTCTCTCTCTCTCTCTCTCTCTCTCTCTCTCTCTCTCTCTCTCTCTCTCTCTCTCTCTCTCTCTCTCTCTCTCTCTCTCTCTCTCTCTCTCTCTCTCTCTCTCTCTCTCTCTCTCTCTCTCTCTCTCTCTCTCTCTCTCTCTCTCTCTCTCTCTCTCTCTCTCTCTCTCTCTCTCTCTCTCTCTCTCTCTCTCTCTCTCTCTCTCTCTCTCTCTCTCTCTCTCTCTCTCTCTCTCTCTCTCTCTCTCTCTCTCTCTCTCTCTCTCTCTCTCTCTCTCTCTCTCTCTCTCTCTCTCTCTCTCTCTCTCTCTCTCTCTCTCTCTCTCTCTCTCTCTCTCTCTCTCTCTCTCTCTCTCTCTCTCTCTCTCTCTCTCTCTCTCTCTCTCTCTCTCTCTCTCTCTCTCTCTCTCTCTCTCTCTCTCTCTCTCTCTCTCTCTCTCTCTCTCTCTCTCTCTCTCTCTCTCTCTCTCTCTCTCTCTCTCTCTCTCTCTCTCTCTCTCTCTCTCTCTCTCTCTCTCTCTCTCTCTCTCTCTCTCTCTCTCTCTCTCTCTCTCTCTCTCTCTCTCTCTCTCTCTCTCTCTCTCTCTCTCTCTCTCTCTCTCTCTCTCTCTCTCTCTCTCTCTCTCTCTCTCTCTCTCTCTCTCTCTCTCTCTCTCTCTCTCTCTCTCTCTCTCTCTCTCTCTCTCTCTCTCTCTCTCTCTCTCTCTCTCTGGTCGGAGTAATATAGCGAACAGAGTACCCGAGTGTAGGAGTGTGAGCTCTGTGCACTCCTTACACGGACATACTGTGTGCAATCTAGTCATTGCTGTGGTAAATTGGGCATGTTTAAAAGTATTGTTTGACAGTTTTGTTGAATCTCGGTAAAAAGGTCCTGCTATTAAGGAGAGGAATGCTGTTGACGTATTTGAATTGCTAATTGGATATCCCGTGAATTCGGGGTTAACGTCAATGTCAGAATTGTCGCGTTTACTAGTTTAATGATATGTTGACGTTATTTTCCGGAGTGTATGACTTTAGGAGAGCATTATTCACATTATATAAACCACTAAGTTCTTGATTATGGATTGGTAGTTAAAATCCAAACATAGAACACATACATTTTGATGTACGTTAGGATGACACATAGACAGCACATAGACAGCATAATTATTGCATAACTATTTTTATACCCGCAATACAATCTACTACTTGCGGACAGTAGAAAGGATTTCAACACAAGGAAAGGAATGGCCTGGTCAGCCTGTATTAAACTGCAAAAAGTCTGGTCCTCTGGCATTTCCGAACAACTGAAAGTCAAGTTCTTTAGAGCCTGTGTCGAACCAGTATTGCTCTATGGATCAGAGACATGGACCATAAACAAGCAGCTTGAGAAACGCCTCAACGGATGCTACACCCGTCTTTTAATGAAGGCCAAGAACATCTCGTGGAAGAAGCATCCAACCCTCAAGCAAATCTATGGCAACCTTCCATCTATTGCCTCAGTGGTTGCGTCGAGGCGTTCCAGATTTGCTGGGCATTGCATGAGAGCTTCTGACCAAGTTATCTCCACTATCCTCCCCTGGCGACTTGCCCAATCGGGCCGTGGAAGGAGACCACTCACCTTCCTGGACGTAGTAGCTCGTGACACTGGGCTCCAGTTAGACGACCTTCGAACTGTTATGTGCGATCGAGACGTGTGGAGGCAGACAGTGAATGGGATTTCGATTGAGGATCGCCCAAAGTAAAGTAAGTACAATCTACATTGATCGTACATTAATTACAGAGTAAATGCAATCTTATTATATAGTCGCAATTCAACAGCACCGATTTGCATATTGGTTGACAAGCTAAGATCCAATCTAACATATTTAATATCATGGGAAAGTATTTCCTGGTGCTTCAGGCACTACCAATAAATAAATATTAAATAAATAAATAGTTTAATAAAATGTTGCACAGCACAAAAATGCAGGTCTCGGCCCAGACTTAAAGCAAGAAAGCAGCTCCATTTTTAGAGTACAGATGTCTAGTTATACTCTGAAGACAGTCCTGCTTTTCACATTAGTAAACTCTGGACCACGTCCTGCAGTATAAAATAATATGCATTTTAACATGCAGCATTTATGGTACAGCAGACACCTGTCAGCTGCCTGCACTTTGCAGCACACTTTTCTAGCTTTACAGGGACACATTTTAGTATTTCCGAGCCCTTTAACTTTAATGTAAACCGAATAATAAAAGCTGAGATGCCTGGCGATTTAACAATTTATTAAAATAATTTCCCAAAAGATAGAGAAAGGATCAGTTAATGATATTAATGAAACAGCAAAGATTATAAAGTAGTTTTGAAGAAAGAAGTAGAGTGTAGCTAATAAGTAATACGACATGCAATGTATTTCATAGAATTAGTCGATTAGATTTCTCTCGACTCCAAGCTTTTCGTGAACATTTTAATTATAAAATATAGTACTTTTCATTCCAATCGTTCAAAAGTGGGCTCATGATATTGCATGATGGGGCACAGTGCAACATCCATGGTTCTGACGTGCATTTCTAGTGCTGTATGCCGGTCAGGCAGGAAGTTTATAATTGCTAGATTTACCAGATTGCAGCTCACCCAGGTCTGTAATTGTGTACTACATTTTAGAGCCTATATCGTGGCTACTCCTCGTTAAAAGGATGGTAAAGCACTTGCAACTATGGTAAGTTCAGCAAATTTTAGCATTTCATAAGCATGCAATTTTATAATAGCATGGCAGCTGCGTACTTACGTTCCCAAAACCTGGTCTTTTACGTCATATTTACTAGAGATCTTTGAGAGATCTTTTTGCTTTTTACTGGATTTACTACCGAAAAAAGGCATCTCTATGTGTTCAAGTTGTTAGTGAAATTAGAGAAGCCTAACATCTTTTATAAATTTAAGATCAATGAACATTGAACACGAATTAACGGATCAAATTACGAATACCAACGAACATAAATCAGAATAATCAAATCATACTGCACAGAAATTAAGATAAGGAACGTATATATATAACGATTGCATCTAATTTTGACATTGAACCCATAGCTTGAAAATAGTCAAGTGGGACAAAAAATCGTTTAAAAACAAAATTAAAAACTTAAATAGTGCTATGTCAACAAAGTGAGTTTAGCAAAAACAGAATAAGTAGTCAAACTTGCTGACCAACCAATGGTTATGATGAGATCTGCATTGTTTTCCTTTGATCCGTGACTTTTATAAGGTTGTAAGAAAGAATACCAATAATCCGTTTGTGCACTGAACCCCTAGCAGAATACTATTTGTGTACTGAACCTCTAGCAGAATACTGCTTGTGTATTGAACCTCTAGCAGAATACTGCTTGTGCACTGAACCCCTAGTAGAATACTGCTTGTGCACTGAACCCCTAGCAGAATACTATTTGTGTATTGAACCTCTAGCAGAATACTGTTTGTGCACTGAACCCCTAGCAGAATACTGCTTGTGCACTGAACCCCTAGCAGAATACTATTTGTGTATTGAACCTCTAGCAGAATACTGCTTGTGCACTGAACCCCTAGTAGAATACTGCTTGTGCACTGAACCCCTAGCAGAATACTGCTTGTGCACTGAACCCCTAGTAGAATACTGCTTGTGCACTGAACCCCTAGCAGAATACTGCTTGTGCACTGAACCCCTAGCAGAATACTATTTGTGTACTGAACCTCTAGCAGAATACTGCTTGTGCACTGAACCCCTAGCAGAATACTGCTTGTGCACTGAACCCCTAGCAGAATACTGCTTGTGCACTGAACCCCTAGTAGAATACTGCTTGTGCACTGAACCCCTAGCAGAATACTGCTTGTGCACTGAACCCCTAGTAGAATACTGCTTGTGCACTGAACCCCTAGCAGAATACTGCTTGTGCACTGAACCCCTAGCAGAATACTGCTTGTGCACTGAACCCCTAGCAAGTAGCAGAATACTGCTTGGAGCATTGCAGCGCCAGGTATCCCAGTGCATATTTGGAACATCGGTATTCTTTCTTACGACCCCTTACAAATATAGGACATTTAAAGTAGCCCTACTTCAAATCATCACACACATTGATGCATGACGAATAATTTCAAAATAATCTAATACTGATTAAATAATATCAGACAAAGCATTAACCATTATATTATCATATTATTTAATCATATTATAATATGATTGAATTTGGCAACCTTCCCAAATAATTCAGCTAAGGGTCGTGTCTTCCGCACCAATCCTAAATCAACGTTTCAACAGATCTAATTGTCAGAATTGGATAAAATTGTAGTGTTAGGTAGGGAGCACGGCTCTCGAGTCTCGACACTTAAAGTGAAACAAGGCAAATTACCAAATTATATAAGAATTGGCTAAAATAACCAATACAATAGATATGATGAAATTGTATGTGCAGAAAGACTTATGACTTATTGGATGGAATGGCAGTAAGGTTCTTAGATAAATAATGGTAACTAAACAATATAATAATTTCAATTTGAATGAAATTGGAGCTGGGTTAATTACTAATGAGTAGATCATGTTAAAGTTGGTGTATTAAAATTAAATATATTTCGCATATTAGCAAAGTGTTGGATGATAATTTCATTGAACTACGATACATGGCACCAGCATAGGCTTAACATCTTGTGGACAAGAGTTTTAAATCAGAACACTATACAAACAAAGTGTTGCAAATTTTGCCATTAGGGCCCATAACAAAAACAATCTTGATTCCGTTTATCATGCCACTAAAAGTACATAATTATTGATTGATAAAATTTTGTAATTCAGACACAACTAAAATGTTATCTTAACAGGATAACATTTTAGTATCTATAAATCGTAATCGCGATTTACATTTAAAGATCACTTCAACATAATATTGACATACCTAGTACCTACCCATATGCTGTACCCTCATTTCATGCCAACTCATCAATTTATTACCTACACCTTGACCACTATTAATAAGTAACTGTCGCAGTGATATTGCTAACATGTGACCATCTGGTTTTAATAGCAGACTACAGTATTGCAATATGCAATCTACATCTGCTGTAGTTAAAGTTCGCATTCATTGGTAAACATTTAAACCGTGGCACATAGCACAATACAATTTTAACATTTAATGAGAATGTTCTAGATCAACAGGAACTGCAAATGTAAATAAAATTGGTTATCATTGGTTGTATGATACGTTACAGTTAAACTTAATCATAACCATCTCTATTTACATATTTATTTGATCATCTAGTCACTGTCACGCAGGATAATGTACGATAAAATACAAATTTAAGTGTTTAGTATATCATAACATGCTTGTGCTACATGGAGTCGTTGCAGGAAGTTGATAATTGATAGATTTACCACACTGTTGCTCTAATAGTTAATACACATTTGCAGTTACATAATTTTAGGCTACAACTGTGGACTAAATGTCTAACCTAGCGATGCTAAAAATAGATATTCCGTTTATGATGGGGCCAATTTAAAGGTTACTTAGAATATCGATGTACTGACAAATTATCTATTGACAGAGTGGAAAATACCAAGAATTGCAAAAAAAACACCAAGAATTGTACTTGCAGACCCTAAACCGTTACTCTGCAGCATGTATTAGTTTTAAAGACTTAAATGTAACATCTTTAAGCATAAACATTTAACATGCACGAATTCACTATATCAATGAGCATCTTTATGAGACTCACCACTTTAAAAACAATGAATGAAATTTTAAGTTTGTTTTTAATTCAAATCTTATCAAGATGGTTCAAAAAACTATATAAAACTTGAGGATAATAAGTTGGAGGATCTTTCAGGATCGACAATCAAATAGCTAGGGGGAGGAAATTAGTTAAGTGCTTATTCTGAAGTCTAGAATATATCTAGCCCAGAACATAAATGGTACACAAATTAGTGATGCTTTAGGTCAGGTGCATCAGTCCCATTTAAACAAATCGGGTCTTGAATAGATAAAACCAGTTTCAGCTCCAATTCATTCAAAAGTCATTCAAAGATCATCAATCTTGTGCTTAGTTCAACCAAACTGACCATTGATTATGAACTACTTATAAAGAAGGAAAACATCATTTTACTTACGATCCCAAGACCTCTTTTAACTCATATTTTTTTGAAATCTTTTCGACTTCTTTCTTTTTGCTGCTTTCTTTTTTGCTACCGAAAAAAGGCATCTATGAATAGAAAAGATGTATTAGTATTTAATAAATTCACTGATGAAGTAATAAAATAATATTTACAATGACTGTTGTATTTTGTATCCAGCTCAATATGAATCACTATTATAAACATGTTAATAATTATAAATGGGTTAATAATTATTGTATATAAAGGAGGGCCAGGGGGAGGGAAGGGGTTCACAAAAAATATTCTCGAAAGCAGATATATTTCAATATGTAAATTAACTCATGAGAAGTACAGTAAAACCTCTCTATATCACATTACCATAATAAACCTTACTAAGTGTACTTTAGGGATCCATATAAGATTCAGGATCTTTTGTCAGGCTCTATCTTATTTAACCTTAAACTATGGTTCCGTGGTCAGTTTGCTGGGTAGAATGTGGGCCGGGACTGCATATAGCCATCAATCGAATTGAAAATTGCATCCTAGCAAGCCACAAAGGTACAACCTCCTAATAAGTACATAAAAGAAGGGGCTGCAGAGTCCTGGCATCTCGATAATATGATGCACAATAATGGTCACCCAGGCCAAGAGAACTGTAGAAACAGAAGCTGGACTGCCTTATGTATTTGGGATAAGCCATGCGAACGGCATCCATTGATTGGTGGGTCCTGATGATAGCCCAACAATCATCATACAATGTAGATGTATTGAAGACTGAAGGGGTATCCTAAGGAGATTCTTGACCTTTTGTTATATTATCCCCATTTGTTTTAAACCATATTCGTTTTATTGTACTGGAGGTGATTTTTTAGTTGTTTTTAATAGAAAGGAGTAATATCTGTCAGCTATTTTGATACCATTAATAAATATTATTCCTTATTAGAGTTGGTGGGGAAATATTTATTATATATTTTTCACATAGTGCGATGATATTTTGTAGACATGTCATAAATTTTACATTACTTTACTTGCTTATGAGTAATTTTATTGCGCAAGCGATTTCAGATTTGTAGTGTTCCCAGGCTCTATTTCTTTTGAACCTGCCAGTTTCTCCGATGTAGGTCTTGTTGCATAACTGGCATTTTAGTTGGTAGCAAATATTTTTAATCATGCACGATTTTTCGCACTGGTGACAGCAATAATCAAGAGGAAACACAGCTTACTTTTGATACTTATACAAAAAGAATCTTTAGGAGATGGACGTACATTGGGTGTGACAGTATACCATCTGCAAAGTTACAGGTCTCAAATATGAAACACGGACGCGGAAGTGGTATAAGACCCAACGGTACGTACGCATATGGGTACTGATTTTGGCCCCTTGTACTTAAAAACAAAACATGTAAAAGCAGATATCAAGAATGACAAAGAGAAAAGGTTTCGTGAGGAAGGTTATAGAGAAATCCGATCCTTTGACAAAACGATGTCTTGGGGCAACTTAAGAAAAGGGAGCATCATTGACAGCCTTGCCACTGAAACAACTTGGGTTTATTCTTAACAAACAAGTATTTCGAGATACTATTGCTCTTAGCTAGATATAATTGGTCCATATCAGACACACCAAAATCTGTGGTTGCGGTGAAAAGAATCAATTATGTCCATATTCTATCCTGTAAAAAGGGAGGCATAACTCTTTCAGAGATACTATGGCAAACCTAATGAAATAAACATGGTGCTCAGATATTTGGATAGAACCCCCTTACTCCCTAATCAATCCAAATTACTTCC